TTTGAAGATCCTCGGCCGTTAGCCAATCAAAATCGAGGATCTGCCGGTCCAAATTTGTTGCGGCAGCTATGGTTAATTGCTTTATAGTAAATGGTTTATACGGGAGTTTTACCAAAATTTAAAAGGATTTATTTTCGCTTCTCCAAAGATTGTATATCCGTTACTTTTATAGTATTTCGTGAAACGATTTATTTTTAAGCATCCTATCTTGCTCACGTGAAGTTTAAATCATTATTCGAAAGAATTAGTTATCATACTCTAAAAGTTTAGAAATACATAATACTTTTATCGTTCTACAGGTTCGCTTCTAATAAAAATTTGTGGTGCACTTGATAACTTGATTTGAAATGTTTACATGAAAGTTAAATTTCTGAAAAACCATTGACAAAATTTCAGGTGACTTTGATTATAAGAATTTCGATAAAATTACTTTGGATAAAAGTTTTCTATTGTGGAGAGATAACTAGTACTTATTTGGCAAGCCGAATCATAGTAAGTTGCCGGATAAATCAATTACAAGTTACACCCTCCTTCGAAAATAGTTCAGAAATTTTGAGTAAATCTACGTTTAGTCTATGAGTAGTTGTGTTTTGACTACTCACTTCATTACAGTTTCTTCCTGTTCATTATTGCTTTTGCGCCATGTTTGTATGGATGAAATTGTTTTTAAAAGTCTCTTTTAATTTCTTTTACTTTTATTAAAAATTTGCAATTATGATAAATTACGTATTATTTAAATTTTGAAGAATTGCGTTTACTGTAATTAAGCTAAAATTACACATTATCTATGCATCATTACAAAAGTTATTAATGCAAATTATCCGGCAAACTCATATTATCATGAAAAATTTTCTTTTTGTTATTTTTACGATGTAATTATGTTTATCCGGCAGCCTACTATGATCGGGCTTACCAAATAACTACAGTTATTGGCTGCTACGCATCCAATAACTAATCATGATCATAAATTGCCGGATAACACCATTATTTAGCAAATTGTTGAATACGACAATTTGACATATGATTGGCTACACGTGCAGCAAAGCGGTACGTGCCCATTTGGTTATTATTAGGCAATTTTTGTGGGCAGAGTGCTACAAAAAGCGACAAATTTTCAAAAAATTTTCATACAAATCAATTTAGAAGAAATTATAGCAGATCAGTATGGTATAGGTGAGCAGATCAGTATAGTACAGGCCAATTTTTAAAATTATACTATACGGATCTGCAAAATTATACAAACTAACGCTTATATATATAATACCTGGTCAGTATAGCGATAGTATAGATTTAAAAATCGACCTATACCATACTGATCTACAAAATACTTAATTTAGAATAAGATTTACTTAACGTTAATTTGTTTTCCGTAAGAACTTGATTAATGATCGGCGGGGTGCATTTCATATCAAAACAATTAATACCCATAATTTGGAGCCAAAATTAAAATTTTTCGATTCCTGTCAGGTTAATATATTTTGTGTTCTCATAAAAATTGTAAAAGCGAATTTCCTCTTTCTAATGGCGGTAAATTTATCAAAATCGATCCAATTGATCACGAGATATTATCATTTTTGTCTTCACGATCATATGCTCGCAAAGACAAAGATGTCAATATCTCGCGATATATTGGGTCAATTTTGATGATTTTACCACCATTAGAAAGAGAAAAATCGCCTTTACAATTTTTATAAGAACACAAAAGATATTAGCTTGACAGGAATCGAGAAATTTTAATTTTGGCTCCAGATTATGGGCATTAATTTTTTGATATGGAATGCACCCGCCGATCATTAACCAAGTTCTTCCCTTTACGAATTAATAAAGTTTTGTAATATAACTCTTTAAAGTTATATGGTTTATTATAAAATTTATAACATAAATATTGATCATCCGAAGATCATTTGTTTTGTTGATTTCCCCTTTTCTGTAGCACCTAGCCCATGTATACATAACTACCGTAAACTGCTGACTATTATATTCGAGTATTTACGAAGACTAGAGATACACCCGCAATACGTTTCTCATTCAACTTTGCCGATATTCAATGTTTCACACCAGATAGATATCTTCAAAGTATAAAAATGCTATTTTGAGACATAATATAGATAGTATCCGGATATAAATTGAATTTTGCCCGCAGAATACTCACGGGTACAGCACATGGGAGTATACAAGTCAGCAGTTTACGATGTTAAAAAATCAGACTAATTAAATATATAAATAACCACACATAGCTTGATTTACATAGTATATCGCACACTCCAACGGGTCATTGGTAGAAATCTTTAATCCATATTGGAACCCTATCCATAGCGATAACATTAACTTGACATTTTTATAATTGTACAAATCATCTTGCTTATACCAGATACAGGTCTCACTTATTTAGCGATACAATTCATGTGTTTAACTCGTTTATGTTGTTAGAATGTATGTACGCAAATATGTTTAGTTTATGCATGTACAACATCGGAGGTCATTAAAATACGTATCGTACGTACGTACATACACTATCTGCTGAAATCGCTCATAGCAGTAGTAAAATGAACAGGAGGAAACGTTGATGTTACACAACTGATTTTACACACGGTGTGAAACATATAAAAAAAATTATTTTACAATACTTGATCAGTCAGCTAGTACATGCTATAATTATAATCCCACATCATTTTTTATTATAAAAAAATGGCGTGGGATTATAATCATAACATGTACTAGCTGACTAATAAAGTATTGTAAAATAATTTTTTTGTGTTTCATACCGTGTGTAAAATCGGTTGTGTAACATCAACGTTTCCTCCTGTTAGTAAAATGGCCTTAAAATTTCTAGACCAGCTTTCACAAGACTTTTTGAAAGTGAATATGGTTATGATGTGATAATTGAAGTTGGAAAACAACCGGATATGCATTTTTTTAAAGCACATTCAGTAATCCTATATCAACGGCCACCATACTTTCGAATAATGTTATTGAAATTAAATTACCCAATGTTTCTGTTGAAACATTCAATATAGTCATTAAGTAAGTTAAATCATTCCTGAACAAATTTTATTATGAAATAGCTCCAAATAAAGTAAATTAACTTATATATAATTCACTATATAACGATAATAAACCTTAGTGCTGACCGAAACAGTAACTTATTGTTACCGATTTGGTAATTTATTATAAAACACATATAGTATATCGATATTCTACATCCCTATAATAACCGTATCAATATTCTTATAAATTCATGTGAATGTGCTTCTGGCTACGGTAAAATCTATTACATCATTTTAAAAGGGGAGAGTCTGGCCTTTTTATAAAAAGAAATTGTGCAATAAGCAACACTCCCTAATACGTGTGATGCTTACTAAATAAGGCAGTGTTATATAGTGTCAAATGATTTTTTTTTTCTAGATATCACAGTTACGTGACATTATTTATCGATAATTTCAAATATTGGTATAAAGAGTTTTTTTTTCACTCTTAGAAGTTCCTTACTTTTTTAAAGTTTCTTACCTTTAAACCGTAACTTCTAAAAACCGTAACCACATACAAAAAAAAAAATCTCAGCTTAAACCTAACAAAAGCTCATACGAAAAAAAAATGTTTTTTTTAATCATTTGCTTTATCGTCCTTTTTCTTTTATCAAAAATTTTTGAAAAAGCACTTGGTAAATTAAGTTTTCCTATTTACTCTTTTTTTGATTTATTCGAGCTTACGTTTAACTTTTTTTGGTATAGTTCTAGATATAGACTTAGGAGAAAACAAAGATCTTGAAACTGGAAATGGTAAATAATGATGTTTTTTAAATATTATTTGAGTTTTCACCTTGAATGTATAATATTAATCTGATTAATTTTTATTAAAAAAGACGTTGAAGAAATGTTTGATACAGTTATCTCCCTTGTTCAAGAGAACAACAAGACGTTAGAGTGGGTAGCAAACAACATGGTATATTCTGAACCTGGAGAAGTGACTGACTTGATCGAAGAGTTGAATGACCTTATAAATGAGCAACGAGATTCAATCAAAGTATTTCTATTATGCCAAAAATTCAGAAAAAACAATGATGTGACTGAAGATTTTATGACAATGGAAGGAAAACTCCCAACCTTCAATATCTAAATACCCGTTCAAGATTTCTTTGACTGCAATAGAAGAATCGATACATCTGATTTGGCCGGCTGGAAAAATGGAACTTTATTAAGCATCGCTTTTATGATTCCATTATTTATTGAATGAAGTTGTCTCCTACCTTTCTCGATAATTTTGGTTTCCTATCTACACCGACTTAACGTTTTATTGGATATATTACCTCGACTATATTTAATCTATTGATATGTTTTAATGAACTTATGTTCTAAGAATTAGTCAAGCATTTTCAATTTCTTCTTATCGATATTAATGCATCATGGCTTCTTTTTATCAGTTAAGTTTTCTTACTGAAAATTTTAAAGTGCTACAGCAATTTTATAACAACTTTTTTGCAAAACACCCGAGTATGATTTTTGACTCTGAAGATTTCGCCACACTTCAAGAAAATGCTTTAATTACTCTTTTAAAGAACAATGAATTACAAATGGTCGAATCTGAAGCATGGGATAAACTTATTTTATGGGGAAAAGTGAAGATGCTGAATCTACCATCTGGCTTTAAAGAATGTACAAATGAAAATTTTGGGTCTTTAAGAGCTACAATTCAAACCTGTCTTTCTCATATTAGATATTTTCAAATTTCTGGTGAAGATATCTTAAAGAAAATCAAACCTTTACCTCCTCGTAAAAGAGAAGTTGCACAACTTCCTTCTGGGAAATCTTCAATTATTATACCATCTTCAATATATTATGAGCAGAATTGATAAATTCAGGAGATTATACTAGGAATCGAAAATCGATATAAGTTCGAAGCGAAATTTTGCAATTGTTACACTGATTGCAGATCATCACGGGAATCGTCAATCCTCAAATTTTATTGGCAGTTGCTGACTAATATTGCATAGACGTGCATTCAAGTTTACTAGAACAGAGGAGTCCTCGCTATGCTTCAGACAATGAAGAAGATTTGGTAGTGTTAGAAGAAAAGAAAGAAAACCTAGATGATGATGGAGAATTAAAGACCACTATTATTGATAACTATATAGTGCGAGTCTACCCCGGGAGCACGTGAAGTAAAAGCGGCGCAGAAGGCTGTGAAGATCACTTACAAAAAATAGGTTTTACGGTGATAAAACGTAGTAAAGTGGAAAAGAGAAATAAGAGAATAAATGATAAATACGATATCAATAAAATATATGGATAGTGAGTAATAATAGGATTAATTAGCTTATATACGATAAATAGATGTATCACTAATAAGACTTTTAATAAGTCGTAGGATAGCATAAGTATATGATGGAGGATTTGAAAATACCTAAAAACAGTTAAATAATTTTTATGTCACATGTGATAATGTTGTTTTATTTTTATAAATAAAACTTTTGAACTTTTTTTTTTTTGCAAATCGCAAAAAAGTTTTTCAGTATTAGTTTCAAATTAATATAAGAACATAAAATATTAAATATTAGACAATAGAGATCTCTTAAATTAAATATTGTTCAATTTAATACATTATACGAATATTTCCTTTTCATAATAAGGAAAAGTAAAGACTTACTACCGTCGAATACAATTTTATTACCCTTCTAGCTCATATGGAAAGTATATCAGTGATTATTATGCGTAATCACATTTAGATCGGCGTAAATTAGCCAATTAGATGACCTTGAGATCACAAGATTATAGGACTTGTTTTTGGACCGAACCGGTTCACTTTCTTGGAAATGTATCGGATTTTTTTTTTAATGAACAAACATTCCATATAAATATATAATCATGATATGATCTTAAATTATCTTGATTTTTATTTTCCATTTTTATGCTGAATTAAAATAGAAAACCTTTGATAGTATAAACTTAAATTGGTACCTTCCCTTTTTACGAATTTAAGAAAAACATAATATGCTAATAAGAAAATCTTAAAAATCTTACAAAATAAGTTTTAAATCAATATACAAATTGTTTTTCAGAGCGAACAATTCGGATTTTTTTTTAAACAATTACATTATTTAATTAAAATTTTAATTCTCAATTTTAATTTATTGATCAAAGATTCAAATTTTTTAAACAATTGGTAAATATTCACAATAATTCCAAATTGTAAAAATTAACTTTCAGCACATTATATTTTTTAAAATATTAATTAATAACCTAATTGAAGCTCTATAAAAGTTACTTTTACATATATATATTTAAAAAAGAATTACTGCCAAATAAATTTAATTATTCGACAAACTCTTATGATTATAAATTTTTTTTTTTCTAGTTTTCTTTCATGTGTTACGTTGTTATTATTTTTTTTTCCTATTCAAAATAAAATA